CAGAATCGTAAGCATGGGTTCTCAGTAAGAGAAATCGAAGAAATTGAATTTCGTCGATTACAGCGCCATCTATCATGAATCGAGAAAAATGTTTCAGACAAATTGTATGTGTTTTTAGCCAAAGATTCCGAATATGAAATAAAAAATAGGGGTTCCCATTTAAGATTTCAAACTTGCCCCCCCTCACCGCCCAGGGGGTGGGGTGGGGGGGCTAATTTTAACGTCATTGTACGTCCCCCTCGAAATGACGAAATTTTGATTCTAAACATTTTTTCGTAGTGTGCTTATTTTTCGAGTTATTTTGCTGCCTAAGTTAAAATGGGTCACCCTGTATATATATATATATACACATATGTATATAAAAGAAGTTTTATATATCTTTGTATACCCAGATCACATACAATCTTCGGGGAATGTTCTGGGACGTTCTCAGGATGTATGAATGTTCTTAAAACGTCTTTAGAACGTCCTTTGAAGATTAGTGCTGTATAGGTATATATATTCTTTCTCATATATAAGAGTGAAAACTATAAATCCATCTTGCAACGTAAAAGTGATATGAGAAGGAAAATCGATTTTACAATATAAAAGTGTAGTGTAAGTGTGTATAGAACTATTCTTTTTCATATGTGGTCCATGTTACAGAAAACATTTTATTTATTAACTAATGTTATGGTCGTATTTGACACATATTTGTTTTTATTACTTCAAAATTGTAAAATCATAGCAAGATTTGGTTAACGGGTTTGTGTTTAAAGGTCAAAAATATGTTGAAAGTAACTATTCGCACTTATTGGAGAAAAATTGTACGGAATAATGATACTGATGCTACATGCGCGCAACGATTGTTTTTAATATTAGCTGTATCTCTGAAACGAATAATCACACCAAAACGAAAAAAATTTAAAGCTAAAAAATGATGGTTTTGTAGCTTTAGTGAAATTTAGAAAAAAAATTTTCTGCCAGTACGAAAACACTTAAAAATGTTTTTGCATCTTTGACGCCATTTTTCTAAAAATCATAATATGCTAGCCAAATTTGGATACCGGATTCGTATTCCACAGGTAAAAATACATCGAGGAAGATTTTGCATTCGTGTAGTTGACAAAATTTGCAGTTTGTTGCCTAGTGTAATTGGCGCGCGGATGTAATGTATAATTAATATGAGTGTATAATGGAGGTTCAATGATAATTATTGAGCGAAATTGCTCTTGTGAAGAATGATAAGGCGTTCGCGCACACGGAGAATAGAGCCAGAAAATTGCAAACAATTGGTAAAAATTGCGGGAAATTATCTCTCAAGAATAAAAAAAGGAACAAGGTATGAAGAGCGATTCTGTAGAATCACGAGCAATTCGAGACTCGCGGAAAATTCATAACACCATTATTGGCTAAATTGAAGAGTTCAAAACGAGAAATCTGTCCCTCCATGACACATCAGAGGATATCTATGTAAGTTTCAAGCGATCTGGAGCGTCGTGCTCGACTAATCGACGCACCTTGACGGTGGGTCCATTTTGTTCACGCAGGTGATAGTCTCGTCTCCCGGTTCACCTAGCAGCGAGGAATCGGAGGCCTCACCGGAGCCAATTAACAAGAGTCTCTTGGGGGGTCTGGGATTCGAGAAGAGCGACGACACAACGACGACGACAATGACGACGACGACGACGAGCGTGTCGAGCGGCATCAGCATCGGCGTCGGCGGTAGCGCCGGTATTGAGCAAGTGACGCCGACGAGTAGCGTCGACACCGAAGAGGGCAATCCCCAGCACCCTGAAGAAGGCGAGAAGGGCGTCGAGGGCGACGTCGAGGCGAGCGACGACGACCGACACCAGCATGTGCCCAAGACACATTAGCCAAACGGAATAGCCGCAAGGATGTCGACTGTTCCTTGGTAAAACAAAAATGAACAAACGAACGTACGTCGGAGACTGAGGACTGCTTCGTGATCTTGCATGTAAGCCATCGCTCATGCAGACGGAGAACCAAACTCAATCGCGCAAAGCAGCGTAGTAGATAATTTCCGTAGGACCGAATTTTAGGGCTCAATCGTTTTAGTTTCCAAATGTGTTTGTGGCAAGGAAAGCATTCGAAAGCGATCTGAGCGAGATTCTTCGCGGTTTGCGTTGTTGATACTCGAGTAGAGATGGTTGTTGAGCATTTCTAGCGAGAATTAGGATCGATTATGATTCTGAAGGAGTGCGTTAGTCATGCTTGCTTGCGCGGGGATTTGTTAAAGTTTAAAGAAAGAGAAGAGAGGAAACAGAGCTCGAAAGATGCTCTAAGCACGATCAGTGTTACCAGATTGCAGTGGCACAGAGGATTTCCCGAAAAGCTATTATGAGTAGCGAAATGAAAATCAACGCTGGCGAATTTTTTCCTCGAGCCTTACATTCATCAAATTCTGATTGAAGTTGGCTTCTGGGAGACACTTTCACGAGTTGAATGTTGCATACAATTACGTCAAATGGTAGCAGTATCGGTATGATCTCGAGCAGCCGAGATGTTGTTCTGCACTCATCGCAGAAGAGCAAATCCGGATTCGAAAAAGACACGAATGTCCTTTCCATAACCGGTTGACATGAACAAACACTATAATTTTGAAAATACAGTTTCTACCAGGCTGAAAAGTCGATGCTGGAGAGAGAGAGAGAGAGAGAGAGAGAGAGAGAGAGAGAGAGAGAAAGAGAGAAAGAGAGAAAGAGAGAAAGAGAGACAACCGAAGCAACCGAACACGTTCAGTCCTTCACACGTCGCGAGAGCTTCTCCGAGTACTAGTTTCGGTCTGTCCATCGAAGAACAAACACGGTCCCAAACGCCTATCTTGTGCACAACCAAAAGTAAAAGTCGTCCTCTTTCAGGAGTTGCTATATAGACGAGAAAAAAGGGAAAGAAGAAAGGGGAGAGTAGGGATGGACGAGATGCTTCCGCATCGTCGCGATCTTCGCCGTCAGATTCACTGTCGTCATCAATATGACCCACACGGCACACAGAACACACAGAACGCGGGCGCCAGCACGCAGCGAACCAGTCAACGAGGAGGAGGCGGCGCACGTGACATACATAATAATCAGTTTATATATGCGATATACTATATATACATATTATATATACATACGTAGACTAGTCACGATATTACGTGTGCTTTTGATAAAAAAACTATTACTTGTAGCGTCAATAGCTAGCCCTCGTATACAGGAAGAAGCTGGAGTTACATGAATAACAAACAAACAAACAAACAAATTGACAAACAAACAAAAACTGACAAACTAACAAACTTAACTAGACGATATACATAATATATATATATATATAAAGATGCGTATACATATGTCGGGGAGATGCGAAGACACGACGGTCGGCGTTTCCGCGTGTCGACAATAGGAACGCGTGTAAGGCGCAATCGCTCGGATATGTCGCGCCGCAGGTATTGATACAGTGTCGGCTGGCCGATCTACTGACCGACTGCTCTATCAATACTGACCGGACAATCGATTGCCCGAGATTGGGTCACGGGAACGGTTGGGGAGACGTGGCTGCTGCGCGGGAGGAATTCACCGAAAACGATAATAATTACGAGTAAAGAGAGAAATGCTATGATTAATTAACTATACTTTTAAAGAAAAAGCAGAGAGAGAAAGAGAGAGAGAGAGAGAGAGAGAGAGAGAGAGAGAGAGAGAGAGGGAAACGTAAAACGAGTAAAAAAATAGAGAGCCAGTATTATTATACGTCTAAACTTGTAAAATGACGATCGCGAAAGAGAGAAAGAGAATGCGAGCGAATGAGTGAGTGAATGAGTGAGTGAGAGCGGGAGAGAAAACGAATGTGCGAATTGTCTAAAGTAAATTAACGAAATTAAGAAAGACGAAATAAAGGGAGGGAAGGTGAGAGGAAAAACGTTTTTTTTTTGGACGGCCGTCGTTGAGAAGAATCGTGCGACGACGACTTACGCACCACGATCCGGAACGAAGCCGCGAGCGAGCGCGATATCATCATCGCCATAATCATCGCTGTAATAACTATCGCGCTGTCGCCGTTTTTATCATCGCTACTCGATCTCGTTTGCGACTTCGTTCGGCGATCAGAGTGAATGAAGAAAGGAAAAGAAAACGTCAGAAAGAAGGCACTGTAATTTGTATAAACACGCAGGTATAAATATATAGATACACATCTGTAAATCTCTTCTTTTCGCACAGTTAGCGTCACTAAGACGCGAGGTACTTAAAGGTTATTTTGAGCAAACGATAGGTCGCGTGGTTGAAAAGAAAGGAGGAGGAATAGGAGGAAGAGAAGGGGGAAGTGATGTTTTCATTGTGCTATCTGCGCGAAACAGAGACTTATTGTATAGCAGTGTGCACATACACACATGCATAGAAATAAATACATATACGTACATAAATATATATACATATATATATATATATATATATATATATATATATATATATATATATATATATATATATATATATATATATATATATATATATGTATGTATGTATGTACGTATATATAAATGCATATGTATATATACACACACACACACACACATTATAACGAATCACCATACGCAATACTCTACATTTTACTCCAAAACCGTGTGACTGTCATTCGATGTGCGTACGCAGCGAGCGAACGCCGGGTACCGGAGTGCTTCTCTTTCGGTTTTGCTCCGTTTACGCAGGTGGATTCTCCCAGTTGATCAAAAAAGAAACGGGAAATTGATAGAATTCGCAAAAACAGGACATTCGCCATTTCGTTAATTCTTCGAAACTCTGAATTTCTGATCGAACCGCTCGGGCTAGAGTCGTGCTTGCGAAAACGTAATTTTAATGTTACATGAAAGCAGAAAGACCACAAGACTCCCGTAAAAGTCGAAAAATATTTGAACGGTATATTTAAAATTCGAAGCGTGAAGAATACTCATTGTTTTTAGGACGTTATTTTTCAGCCCGCCTCTTATATTGAACTTCTGGATTACGCGGATTCTGCTCTAATAACACTGGTTTATAAAAAGAAAGAAACCATTTCTTGTCACATGGGTCAAATTGTGACTTTTTTATACTTAATTAGATATTATTTTTTTATGTTTAATTAAAAAATGTAAACATTTTTTTATTATCCAGAGTTTCCCATTCTGGTCATTCTTAAATTTCAAGAGAATTAATTTTCTTTGTATATACAGATATTATCTAATTTAAAATATAGAGACTAGTGATTTTCTGTCGTATTTATGTCTCGTATTTAAGAATAAAGAAAGAATTGTATCAATTTTTACTTTTAATATTATGCACCTAATTAGAGAAAAGTTGCGTAAAATAAGAAAAATCCTTAATCTTAATAAATTTTCATAGACACATGTATTGCTTAAATAATGAAACTATTTGTGGAAAGAACACTAAGAAAGAGGGATAGAGAGAGAGAGAGAGAGGGAGAGAGAGAGAGAGGGAGAGAGAGAGAGAGGGAGAGAGAGAGAGAGGGAGAGAGAGAGAGAGGGAGAGAGAGAGAGAGAAAAAGTATTTCAAAATTTATTTGTGAGATATAGTTTATTTCTGTGAAATAAGATATAAGACTTATTTCACAGTAAATATAACTTTATATCGGAATTTTTTCATTACTCTCATTCTTTACTTTTTGTGACAGTCATACATGAGATTTAATATATATGAGATTCCACGCAATTCGATTTAATACAATATTTTTCATGCTAAAACCTAGTAAACATTAACCATAATATTATATTAATGTTATAATTTCCCACTCAGGAATGTAAATGTAATATCATATTGTACGTATATTGTGCAAATGTGAAATTTATTTCTATGAGATAAGCTTTATATCCCAAATAAATTTTCAAGTATTTTTTTCTCAGTGTAAGATTGATAATACTCCCAATAAACACTAATAGTAATATTACATCAATGTTATGATTTTTCACTTAACAATGTAACTATTATGTACAACATATATTATATTACACTTATATTTTTTAGTGGGAAATTATAATATTGATGTAATGTTACGGTTAGTAAATGTTCATTGAGTTTCAACATGAAAAATATAGGATTAAATCAAATTATGTCTTGCGTTGAATCTCCTTCACAATATATTAAATCTTATGTGATCGTCACAAAAAATAAAGAATGAAAGTGATGAAGAAATTTCGAATTTTCGGAACTCTACGCAAAAATATATAACCACACAAAAAATACATAAGAAATTCCATGTGACAAATTACTTGCTGACTGAGTGCAATTCGTTATTATTCGTTATATTTCGCTTGTTTGACACTACAATCGTGGAGCGCGTCCTAGATACATTCTCAAGTTCGATCAATTCGTCAGATTGAGATATCACATAGTTCCTATCGTCTCTAATCGCGTTCATAAAGGAATTGAGTAATCTTCGTGAATAAAATGCAGAATAAAACGAATGTGAAACCTGAGTCATAGCTGCTTATCGCTTTATCATGCGATGGATTAACGTCTTTACGTTATTAAAGAAATCGAAAGTTATCGTAATTGGCCGAGCGACGTTCGTGTCATTAGTAAGATAATTTAGTAAGATAATTTTTGCTAACATTATTTATGCTCTGGAATTTGTTCAATTTACAAAATGCGTAAAATTTCACTAATACGTTCCGTATTGTCGCGACTTTTCGATATGATTATTCGATCGGCGCACATTTACGTCACAAAGGACATAAACACAGACACGAAAACGGTATCCAGTGTTCCTCGCCGTCCTGATTCTAATAATGAATCGATTATACGTATTAAAGAATAGAAAGAAGAGAAAGGAAGAGAGCGAGAGAAAGAGAGAGAAAGACGGAATGAAAGAGAGAGAAAATACGTGATTAACATTAATTATTATACGTCAAAGCACACTGCCGCAATTTTATATAATTGACTGTTGTTATACCTATACTTACGTACATATATATATTATATATACACATATATACATACATACATACATATACATATATACGTTAAATATACATTAATGAAGACACATATATATATATATATATATATATATATATATATATATATATATTTATATATATAGCGAGTCGCGATATATGTCGATTGTAAGGAATCCAGAGTATGGCCACAGTGAGTTAGTTTAAGTTTTACCCGCCACGCGGATTCACCCTTTGTCCGAGGTTGCAAGACGAGAGATACTTCGAAGCCGGCGACGGTCACGCTTGGCCGCTAGTTCCCGTGATTTCGAGAAATTCTGAGGAACGATGAACATCGACGACTACGAATATCCATTCGATTATCTGTCGCGTATTCCCACGTGCTGGATATTATCAGACATCCGCATATCTAAGAATATCCGAAGATAAACAAAGAGAATGGAAAAGATACATGATAGTATTGAGGATTATCCAAAGATAATTACCGGATAGTTATTGTTACATCATCCGACTGTATAAATTTGCGAGTCTCGGAAGTTATCGTCGGTGTCACATATTTCGGCAAAACCCACGAGTTGCTTATCCCTTCGGGCGAATCCGGCGAGTGTGGTCGCCGGTCGAAGGATCAACAGAATGGTGGAGAAGCTCGTTAGAGAGTATCACCCACGACAAAATGATAATAATTTTTCGAGAACGAAGAACGAGAACCCTCTGTTCACGCGCGATAGGCTAGATATAATCGCGAAGTCCTTTGCGAGTTCTCGTATCGCTTGTGAGGGATATAGCCCCATGGTCGAATTGAGCTGAGCGAAAGGGCAGGCACGAATAGGGCTGACAGATGCAGCAGTTCGTGTTCTCGACTTTTCCACGGTCGATCGCCGCACTTTTCTTTGGCTATTCTTTTTTCTCCGTATCTTACTTCGATACCGAAAGATGGCAACAAGAAAAGCACAGAGATCTCGTTGCGAATACAAACGATTCGGCAGATCGGCGAATTCGGACCAACAGTAACGTTACATCAATTACTACGTTCAGGGAAGAAAGTTACTTGTTGTCAAATTTGTGAATCTGATTGTGAATATGCTATTAGATTCAGCCAGGATTAGAAGTGTATATCAATAGGATTCACGAATTTTGCAATAGTTGCAAAACGATTTCCTCTGTTGAACGTGGCCATTGTTATAATTTCCCATTCAACGATGTAACTGTTACATACAACGCGTGTTATATTGCATTTATCTTGTTGAGTGGGAAATTATAACATTAATATAATGTTATTATTAGTTGGTACTTATTGAAAACTTGGGGGGAAATAATTATATATAATTATATAGAATTTTATATAATTATATAAAATTTTATATAAATAACATATAATTTTATGACTCCTATATATGAATTTTGTGTCTGTATGATCACATATATAATCATATATATAATTATATACGTTTATATGGACAAATATGCTGTCAAATAAAAAAAGGAAGAAATGATCTTATTCCTCCCCATTAAACGTTGACATCATGAACATTTGCTTCGATTGCATTTGTACAATAACACTTTTCTTGCCATAGACATATATAGGATGTTTTAAGGAAAGTGAGCAGTCTCTTAAAGGTATTTATAAATCAGTTGAAAATAACCCTATAAATTCATATAAAATTTTTTCTTATAACACACTCCTATTGAGATATATTTGCTTCCTAAAAGAAGATTTAAAAAGTATTTGTTAAAAGTAGCTTATATTGCTGGACAGGTTTTGATAATCTTTGTATCATTTTGGTGATACATTTTAAAAGTAGTTTGTTCTTCTCGGCTCCCTGACATAACATTAAAAATGTATCAAATTATCTTAACGACCTTCGCTTAATACAAAAATAATAAAAAAAATTATCAAAATCAATTAAGCAATATATAAAAGTTATTTTCGAGAAATGTTTTTCAAATTCTAATTTTGGAGGCGAGTATCTGAGCAGGAGTTGTAGAATAAAATTTTATATAAACTTATAGAATTATTATATATATTTTTTCATCTGATCTATATGCCTCTAGAAGATTGCTTTTTATTGAAACATCCTATATAATTACATATAATTATATAAGATTATATAGGGACAAAATTCATATATAATAATTTTTCACGAAAACGAAAGACAGAAGAAAGAGAAATCCGAAAAAATTCGGGAAGTCAAGTTAGGTGGAAAAGTTGCAATGGATAAGCGTTACAACGAAATTTGCAGGACTTGTTTGGTAATTGTTAATGTAAAGGAACGATACAGAGATGTATTCATGAGATAATTGGCGCGAAGTCAAAGGGAATATGAACGAACAAGGAGCGTTATAATGTCGACATGTAAATCTAGTTTTTTAACGCGCTCGCATCACCTGATTCTCTCTTTGTACAACAGTACGTTTCATTAATTGGCTAATTACTTGTGGAGGGCTTCGCGTTAAATGGATTCACGAGTTTGTATTCTCGATTTTTAGAAGTCTCGACCGCAGGTGCGTTAAGAAGGATTAAGAATTACACGTCGAATTGTTGTCCATTCCTCTCTTCGCGTTTGATTCGCGCTAAACCAATGATTGACAACGAAGAGAACGATTTTATTGATAACTAAAAATTTTTTTCATTGCTCGGAGATTTTCATTAAAAATCCGTCGCGCGTTTCGTTGGTCTCGCTTTATTTTCGTTCTCGTGACCAATTGATATACACCTACCAACTGATACAATCACTAAAATTGATTCCACGATTAATTCAGCAACGGTGTTAACTTTTCGACGCAACGCAAGAGTCTTTGGACGAAATAATCGATTTATAGCTACGAGATAGGCGATGCGCACACAAGTGCACACGTTTCTAACTTAATAATATGTATTATTGCTATCGCATATTGCTGTTTGTACATTATACTACATAATTGCACGCGACGTCGGTTACGCGACTTGAAAAAGGAGGATTCTCGCATACGTCAATAGCACGTCGTGAGTATAAGTCTATTGGACACCCTCGAGAATCTTAGCACTAACATATGAATATACATATATGATGGACCACGTTTGTCATACTGAGATCTTTCTAAAAAAAAAAAAAGAAAAAGAAGATAAAGAAAGAAAAAGAAAAAAAGGAAGAAGGAGGGGGAGAAAGAACTAAGAATTTTTCAATAATTTTTTTATAAGTTAGAGGCAGAACGTAGTGGGGCGCATCGGTTTTTCTTCCGCGCTCCGATCAACACAAATTTCGTACGTAAACAAACCACACAATCGACTCTTTCTACGACTAACACTTATATACTATACATATAGTTTTAGCTGTTTCCCGAAGTCCGCGAATCGTCACGAGGTTGACATCGTGTTCGCGCCGATGATCGGTTTCTCGTGAAGGATCCATCGCGCCGATGATCGGTTTCTCGTGAAGGATCCATCGCGCCGATCAGCGAAACGTCATCGCGTTTTTGCGATAATTCCATTGAAAGATCCGAAAAAGAGAGAGAAAGAACGAGAGAGGGGG